GGGAGGGGCGACCGTGCCTCGTGTATGCGGCATGCCATGCCGCAGTGTACTTGTGAGCATGGGCTCATTTTCGATGTGTGATTGCCGCCGGTGGGAGAACAAGCCACATGCAAGTGCTGCTACCACTGCCAATGACATAGAATTCTGCTGGTGACGCAAGGCCACCGCCGGCGCCGCATGCATTTTGATAGCGACGGGGGCGCGTCTGGTTGTGCGCGCGCTCAACACTGCCGTCGGCGGGTGTCGGGGAGTGCGCCCACCTGATGGACCTGATGCTGAAAATGGGCTATCATGCGGGTGAGGCTGTCGATATCTGCGTTGATGGCGCGCTTCTGGGAGTGCGCCGCGTCCTCTGTGTTCTTGGCGGCGGCCAGCATCGAGTCGATGGACTGGGCAAAATTGGGGCAGGGGGCGCGGGCGGGCAGCGGAGAGTTTGGCACGGGCGACGCTGCAGCGAGCTGGGCGGCGCAGTTGCGTCAAGAGGCTCAGCATGGGCATGGACAATGCTCGTGTGGGGTGTGCACCACCGGCGGCGCCCTTCCGTGTCCATTATCTATCAGCCGTCCTCGTTTACTCTGCAGGAACCCACCCATCAACCATTGACCCCCACCTGGTCAATGAATTTTGCCCTTGGCTCCAGGTCCGACACGAGAAAGTCGCTAAAATCCGCCTGCAGGCTGCCTGCAAGGCCAGTGGCCAGCACGGTGGGACGCCGCGCCTCCCCCACGCCTGGCGCGCCGCCGGCGCCGGCGTCGCCGTCGCCGTCGCCGCCATCGTCGGCGCCGCTCGCCGGCTGCTCGTGCTCAGGGCCGACCCCTGCGGCCTGCTGCGGTGCATGGGGTCATGGGTGAGTGCACTGGGGGGCGCAGCGCAGCGCAGCACTGAAGGGGGGCGCATGGCGAGCGCGTCACGCATGCAGCGCATGCGTGTGCGCGGCACCTCCCCATGCAGACCTCCCCTCTTGTCACGCCCCCCGCCGGACTCGCGTTCGGCCTGCCCGCACTCGCATGCAGCACGTCAGCTTGCCGTCATGCATTTTCCATGTTGGCGTTCGTCATGCATGCCCACACTCACTGTGCCATGCGCCCTGCGCCATGAGCAAGCTGCCAACCTGCAGGTGTGTGTCGTCATCTGCCATGGACGACGGCACCATGGTGGCCATGGCCGCGCTGGGCAGAGAGCCGCCGTACTCCTCGTGGTCCATTGATGCGTACGCCCGTGCTCAAGGGTTGCTATCTAAGACGAGGCTCTTGGTGTACTGCAGGAGGCGCGCCGCATCCGGAAAGAGGCGGGGCGGCGTTGGCGGGCAGCTGCAGCTGGTGTCGTATTCAGACCGTCTTCGGTCAGCCCAGCAGCTGGGCCATCCATCCTGTCAGCAGTGATCCCCAGAGCGCCTCAGATCGTGTACATATGGACATTCATCCGAATTCCGGCCTCGCTCCACCTGATTTGGGGTCTTCAGCGAGTTGAGGGGAGATCGGATCTCGACAACTATGAGTCTGCCTGCAACAGCACGTGTATGTGAGCACGTTTAGTATGAAGGATGTATCACAACGGTACTCGCTGCCAAGGCGTGTGAAACAGCCGATGATCTCAAGGTACTCCTGTGCGTGTTGCCGCGAAGGGACACGTCAGAGACTGTTACCGTATGATATGGCTGCATAAAAAAGTGTTCAACAATTCATACTGACTCATTGTATATATTCATATCGGCATGGCGGTTGTTGTGCAACAGCGTCGTCCGCAACTGGCATTGGCCCTTTTGTGGACGCACGCACCCATTGTGGGCACCGCATGCGGCGGTCAGGGCGGCGTGCGGCGGAATCACTTATGCCCAGATCAGCAAATCTGGGAGCTATCTTCTGCCTTGTCACAGTGGCCAGGTTGTCGTGCTGTCATCCCGATCCGCACACACCCGACCTTGTGCGCCTCTGCCATGGCATGAGCGCAGGTGCAGGTCTGTGGGAGGGGAGCCTCAGCATATCAAACTGACTGAGCATCATTCCTGGCCCTTCAGGCCCACTGATTTGAATCTCACATATGAACGGTGTGCATGTAACAATGAGGGGTCCAGAAGGGGCACGGGTGCAGCGCAGGGGTGACATGCAAGCGCGAGAAAGCAATTTATCAGATTCATCAGCACTGAGACGCAGGGCCTTGAAGGGGCCATGCATCGGCACAAAGCGCGAGTGTAGCTCGAGCGCGACATACTGCGCACGCAGGTGACATGCGTGCAAAAAAGCTCAAGGCGGTGCGCCAGGCTACAGCAGCAGCAATTGCCACCCAATCAGTTTGCCACAATGCAAAAGGGGTTCCAGCAAGGCATTATAAGCGCAAGGAACTCTCATGCCATCACAGCACCATGTGTTGATTAGTGATGCAGTACAGGAACGTGCCATGCATGCAACTCAGTCATACATCGTGCAAAATCCTGCATTGTCGGGAGCTGGGTTTGGCAGGGGCGGATGGCTTCATCCGTTCGGAGGCCAAAAGACAGAAAATGTGGATTGATTGGCGGTGCTCATGAAATGGTGAGTACGAGCGACACACAGACATTTTGGCTGTCTGGTCGCATGATGGATTGGACCGAGCAGGCACCGGCCGCGCAAAGGGCTGGGTTGAGGCCTGTGCAGGTGCGTGTGTGTGTGTGTGTGTGTGTGTGTGTGTGTGTGTGTTGCGGCCCCCCATTGCAAACCCTTGGGGAAATCCGTGGGTTGATTTGGTGTGGTCAGCACACAGCCGGCAATGAGAAAGAGGGAGGACCGCAGTGCGACAGCTGCCCAGAGTTGTGAGGCGCCCGCCATAAATTGATCGCACGAATTGGGGGCTCCACACAGTGGTCGCCCGAAGCGGCAGCGCTGGCTCGACCAAACGGTCGCGCACGGCTGCGTCACATGGGCAAGAACCAGGATCAGTAGCAACAAGACCCGACAACCGAGCTGGCAATACAGTAATCAGGGTCTCTCTGGGGCATGCGCAGCGTCACACAGGTGACAGCCTCGAGCAAACTCGGCCCGCCCCTGCCCGTGACTGGCTGAAAAGCAAACTGGAATGCACGAAGCCACGCGCCGCGCGCCAATATGCGTGCGGTGGTGGATGTGAAAAATTGCCAGTCGTGCAGCCATGAGCGCCCGTGTCGCAGCGGCTCAGGGCCGGTTCAGGCCCGCGCCTGACAAGTTGGGGGCGGTGACGTCATAGCGGCTGGAGAAGGAGCTCGCCACAGCCTGCCCAGCGCTGGAGATGGCGTGGGGCCCGTCACCTGTGTCGCTTTGGGAGAAGCTGCCCGCTGGAAGCAGCGCCATGCCGATGCTGGCGCCCACGATAACGTCCTTCTTCGCGCCGACGCCGGTGGCGCTCGTGGGGTTAAACGTCCTGAGCGTGACGCCGCGCGAGGTGCCGGGCGTGCCCTCTGGCTGTGCGAGCGGCATGGCGTTGGAGGCTGCGACGGTGACGGCGGTCTCAGTGTCGACCTTGGACAGGGCCACGGGGCCAAATGCGGCGGCGGAGACCTCGCCGGCCGGGCCCTCGCTCTGGCTCAGGCTGGGCGTGGACGTGCGGACCTGGCCGAGGGTTAGGTGGCGCGGGTGTTTGGGACTGCCTGATGTTCTTCACTGTCATCCCGCTGTTTACATCAATCGATGTACAGTATTATCTTCGGGTCTTTAGATGTAACACATCAATGGGGTTGTATGTGACGGACGGGCTGACACTGGCATGAAAGGAGACCCTCCCTACGCGGGCCTCCTGCTGGCTGCCGCAGGTCGCAAGGTGCTTGCTGCCTGTCTGTGGGGGGATAGTGAGGCCGGGCCAGTCGGCCGTCGCTCGAAGGTGCGGGTGCGTTGCCCAGCGCACGCACCTGGCTGCCCGGATAGAGGTCTGTCGCGAGCGCGGTGACGGTGGCCTCCATGTGTTCAAACCCTTGAGACGCAGACTGCGCACGCGACTCGGCCACGTCCGTGGTGGCCAGCACCATCCAGGACTTGTCGACGCCGGTGCCTGTGAACGAGTCGGTGGTCTGCCGCAGCAGCCGCGCATCCGCGGCGCCTGGCGGGCACAGGTGCGAGGCGGCAGCGTTTGAATGAGCAGGAGGCTGCAATGTGGAGCAATAAAAAGCAGTGGTGGGCATTGACAATTGTCATAACTTGCCGTCAAGCGCCGGCGGGCGCTGGCCGTGTCCGACACGGCCAGAGTCTGGCTGCGGCCTTCCAGTACAGCTTGCACGTGCTCGACCGCTTCCGGGGCACTAGGGTTTTCGCTGTGCCTGGGACCTGCTGGTGGAACTGTTGCTGACCTGTCATGTTGATGTACTGTATAGCTGCAAGGTGTGGATTTCTGGCCCGTATCATCGCGCTTCCAACTCGCTGTGGGTGCAGCTGCTGTGGGTTTCCCTGCATGCGATTAATTTGGCGCAAGGTGCCTCCTTACTTGCAATGAGGAGACAAAAAACCGCCATGGAGAATTCTTTTCTCTGATGGCCATGCATGCTTGCGGGCCTCAGGAATCCTGCGTGTTGTGGCAGCAACAGAGGACATCGGCATGGCAAGGTCAATTCATCAACACACTTCACAGCAACGAGCGCAAGTTAGAAGTTGCGCTCAAGTGCACATATAAATCTAATGATACAATTTTGTTCAATGACCCTGATCCACGGTGCATTGCGTGCTCACGCTGGATTTTGAACGCTGCACTATTTATGGTTGGCCTGCTATGGCTGCGCGATGATGCAGTATGCTTAAATGATACTTAAGAGCCTTAAATAACTAAAATACACATCCCACGGCGATGTATTCGGGCCGGTGGGCACTGCGGCACACGTATAATGGTCACCGCACGCCCAAGTAGACCACTTGCACGCCACCGCTTCGTGCCCAAACCCTAAAGCTGCGGGTATGTTTGAAATACGTGACTTCTACCTCTCCATGTAAGCTTTCGCACCTTGTCATCCATCGTGCGGTAACCGCAATGATCTGATCTCGTACCAGGCCGCGCGTCCGCGGCGTACAAATGCTATCAAGGCTATATCCCGAGAAATTTTTCAAGGACGTACTTTATCACAGGGCGCACCTGACACCCATGGCTGTGCGCCAGTGCACTTTGCTGGTGGCAGGGCTCCACGTGCCGGGTGGAGGGGTGCACCCCTCCACCTGGCACCCAGCAATTGCGCCCAACTGCAACACTGTCACACCACTGCGGCAGCCTTGACGTCGTGTAAGGTACACGGAAACTGCTGGGTATCCAGGACTTGGATGGGTGGGCTGGCTTTGGGAAGCTTGATTGTTTTCCCAGGAGAGGGACCGCTGCAGCTCAGCAACCCCTGCCTCAACTGCGGCCTATCACGCAAGCAGGCCCTTGTGCAGCAGCCCATCCTGCCCCGTGGTGCATCGAGAAGCGCATGTTGGTGCGTGACAGTTGGCAGATGCACCGCGAGCGCATGAAGCTTACAGAAAAAAACTGCTAGTATGAGCAGACTGTGGGTAAGTGGGGTTGGTTGACCACCCCAGCTCCCTCACCACCGTGGGTCATCATGCCACCAGTCCCCACCCAGTCAAATGTGCCATGCTTCAACGATTGAAATGTCATATCCTTCAGCCAACAAGACACGGGTGCAGCGCTTGCAAGCCGCGCTGCCGAAAAGCGGCTCCGCGCGCCACCCCTGTAAGAGGGGTCAAAAGGTTAGCTGGGATAGCAAGAACGTGCGACTGCACAGCCGCAACCGCAGGCTGCAGCTGCCGCCGCTCTTGTCCCCGCTCTCACCGCCGGACGTCGCCAGGCCGCGCCTAATCTTGGTTAGTCATGTCCGCAAGCCCGGCCCTGGCGCTGCCGTCGCCCGCCCCGGCGCTGTTATAGACCGGGATCCGGCTGCGCCGCCCCAGCCCCTTGGACGCCGCCGCCGCCGCAGCGTTCGCCGCCGCCCCGACCTCGCAGCCAGCCGCCGCCGCCGCCGCGCCGCCCGCGCTGCGTGTGCTCCGCGTGCTGCGAGTGCTGCGCGCTGAGGGGGAGGGTGCCGAGTTCTCATCGTCGCCGGCGGCGCTGCTAGTGCTGGCGGGGCCCTGGCCGTCGTCGCCGGGGCTGAGCAGCCGCAGGATCTCCTGAGGGTCGCCGCCACGCTGCGGGGTTATAGTAGAGTGTTGGATTGTGAGGGCAGGGAGGGCAATTATTGGCAATCGAGGACGTTGGGAGCGGGCGCAGCGATAGGGGAAGGAGGCACGTGAGCATGCAGATCAGTTGTGGTTAGGAGCGGCGACTGGTGAAATGCCGAGCTCAAACATCATGCAGACGGCGCCTGGGGCCCACGTGCGTAGTGCCGGGCATTCAGTCTCCCCACCCAACGCGCCAGCGACGCGCAGACCGCGGCGCCCCCGGCTTGCCTTGAGTATGGCGTCGCGCTCGCCCCTGAAGTACTCCAGAAGAATGGCCTGCGGCGGGCACGCCAGCTCCGCCACGCGCCCCTCCCCGGGCACCGCAAACTCGCGGCGCTCCGGCAGCTGCGGCGGCGCGCGGCCGAGGGCCTTGCGCGCTGCCGCCTGCAGCGCGGCGGCGGCTGCGGACAGGCCCTCGGCGTGCTCCTCGCCGAAGCCTGGCGGTTTTGGGGGGCGGGGAGGTGGTTGGGGCGCTGACACGTGCCATTGAAGGCTGAGGGCGGAGCCAGCCCAGGCTTTGTATTCTTTAGCTGGCACCCTGAGCGCGCGAACACTAACGCCTGAGAAATGTTGGCCCAGGGGCATCGCCTTTTCAGATGTCATGCTTGCCCCCCGAGCAACCGTCATGCCCAGCTCTTCCCACGAAAGATTGCTCTCCCTTACCTGCGATCGCCACCTCTGCCTCGCCCGCCGCCGCCTCCAGAGCCCCTGCCACCTGCTCGTCCGCAGTCCCCGCGGCCTCGGCCACACCAAGCAGCTCCGCGGCCGCGCCGCGGAGGCCCGCCGCTCCGGCCTCAAGCTCGCGCGCAGCCGCGCCGCGGCCGCCGGCGACCGCCGCCGCCGCGGCGCGCTCCGCCGTGTCCAGCTCAGCGCGCTGCCGCAGCAGCAGGGCGCTGATCTCGCCCGTCTGCCGCGACAGCTCGGCGCCCGTCGAGGCAGCGCCGCTGCGGGCGGCGGCGCCGATTGCGGCGCCGATGTCGGAGGCGGCGGCGCGGAGGGCGCCCAGTTGAGCTGACAGCTCAGCGTCGTATGCCGCCACGTCACCCTGGTGTTGCATGAGTGGGCGCCACAACACACGCGCCCAGAGTATGAGTCGGTTGTGACTGCGTAATGCCTCAGCCGGCACGTTCAAGGTCTGTGTAGGCCTTCAGGCTGGCGTAGTCACCTCACCGCCGTGAGTCACATCATATGCGGGGCCCCAGCCTTTGATCCAAACGCGCACCTTGATCGATCCGGCGCACACGCCAGCCGCGGCGGCCGCACCCTCTGCCGCCGCCCCCAGCTCCGCGCCCCCTTCCGCCAGCTGCCGCCGTACGCCCTCCACCGCGCCCGCCACTGCCTGACGCCGCTCCGCCGCGAAGCCGCTGAGAAGCTGCCCGATCTGCGCGACCAGCCCGGCCTCGCGCTCGCGGGCCGTGCGGTCAAAGTCCTCCACGAACGACGCCAGCGAGCCCGATGCTGCAGAGAGCGTCGCGCCAGACAGCTCCCGCACGCCGCCGAGCCCGCTGCGCGCGGCGTGCAGGCCGTCGGCCGCGCGCGCCAGTGCCCCGCGCGCGAGGGACGCCGCCCGCTGCGCATCCGCAGCCTGCTCCTCGGCAAACGCCGCGACCGCTGACGCCTGCTCCTCGAGCGACGCCGCGAGCGCCTCCAGCGCCGCGCCCGCGCCCTGCCCCGCCAGCGCCGCGGCGCCCGCGGCACGCTCGAGCGCCTCCCGCTGCGGCGAGGCGAGCGCAGCGAGCGCGCCTGCGGCGCCGTCGGCGGCGGCAGCGAGCGCCGCGTCGAGGGCGGCGCGCGTGCCGTCGATTTTTGAGTCGAGCCCGCGCAGCTGCTGCCGCATCGCCTCAAGGTCCGCCTGCTTCCGCGCCCTGAACTCGGCCGCGTGCGCAGCCACCGCCCGCACCCGGCCCCGCTCCGCATCGACCGCCGCGCCGACCGCGGCGCGCAGCGCGTCGGCGCGCACGGCGGCGTCGCGCGCCATCACGCGGAGCGCATCCCTGTCTGAGCCGGTGACGTCCAGCGCGGCGCGGAGGCGGGTGAACACCTCAGACAGCTCTGAGGCCGCCTCACCCAGGTCTTGGGTCACCTCCTGCGGTGACAAATAGGCTTGTGTGTTTGTGTTTGTGTGTATATGTGTGTTTTGGGGCCGCCAATCGCTCAGCCGGAGCACGGAGCCGGTTCGCGTGTCAAACACCGCCGGCCAGAGCGGCCAGCGACAAGGTATCAGAGCGCGGGGGCGCGCGTGGGGCAGATGTGCGGGCGTGCGGAGCGGCGCGGGGCGCGCACCTGTGCGTGCCCCGCGATGGCCTGCTCGCTGCGGCGGTGGGACATGATTATGAAGTCGCGCTCCTGGACCGCGGCCTGCGGGGTTGCATGAGATGTTGACCGCAGATTGGTTTTGCTGGGCAAGGCAGGGTTGAGCTGCTGCGATCTGCGGCTGAGGGAAATGCAGCCAGCCTTGCAGCAAATCGTTGGGTGGTGTCCCAACCCAACCAGGGCTCCACGCATTTAATGTTTTTGCACCGCTTCCCCTGCAACCCGCACCTGCGCGGCCTCAAGCTGCTGCACCGTGCTGCGCAGCTGCTCCTCGGCCGCGCCCAGCTTGCGCGTCAGCAGCGCCTCGGTGGCCGCCGCGCGCGTCGACAGGGACTGCGGGACAGGCACGCGGGGTCGGGCGCATATGACGACGCCATCAGACCGGCGCCCACTTGTACTTTCGCCGGTAGGAAATGAATGTTCTAGTCATTTGCAATCACAACGGCCCCTATCAAGGTGCAACAGGCCCCTCCCAAAAGCGCCCCTCCTCCCGGGTACCTCGAGCTCCTCTGCGTGCTGCGTCGCCATGGCCTCGATCTCGGCTTTGTTACGGCCCATCATCTCCCGCAGCTGCGCGCGCTCCAGCTCGTACTGTTCGTACCTGCGGCGCGCGGTGATGACGTCACGGTGACGTCACAGCGATGTCGCGTACCGGCGCATGGCAGGATCACCAATTGCCAGGCAATTTGTACCCCTTGGTACGTCAAACACACAACCGTGACATCCCCTCGATCTTGGGAAATCCAAACAGGGCCTGGCAGGCGGGATGCAATCATACATGGTGCGGCGCAGGGTGCACAGCCGTCACCACCCCGCGGCCCGCATGAGGAGTGTTCCACCGTTCCCCCACCTCTCCGAGCTGATGAAGATGCCGTTCTTCTCGCGCGTTGCCACCAGGTCCAGCTTGAGGCGTTCAATCTCAGTCGTGAGCTCCTTGATCATCGTCGTCTTGCTGATGCGCTGGTTGACCTGCGAGGTGAATTGTGTGTGTGTGTGTGTGTGTGTGTGTGTGTGTGTGTGTGTGTGTGTGTGTGTGTGTGCGCGCGCGTGTGTGTGTGTGTGTGTGTGCACGCGCTGGCGCATGTCCACAAGCACATGTGTGGTGTGGATGCGCACATGCAGGCTTTGAGGGAAGCGTCTTGTTGTGTTTCTGGGCGTGAACGCCCGACAGAGCAACTGCATGGGCGTGCTAGCGGGCAGGGCACATTCTTGGGTCAAGCAAGGGGTACTGGCCGGGCCGGCGCACCTCGGGCCTGTTGCGGATGTTCTTGGCCCTGTGCGCGTAGTCGAGGGTCGAGATGGTCTCCTCCAGGAACGACAGGCTGGGGCCGATGGTGGCGATGATGCAGGTCTTGGTGCGGCCGCCCAGGGAGTCGCGCAGCAGGCGCGTCAGCTTGGAGTCCCTGAAGCGGGCGTTTGGGGAGGGTGGCAGGGGGGCGCAGGTGACGTTTGGATGTTGGAAGGCGGCTGGGAACTGCCCAATGCTGAGAGGCGAGGGCTGACGTGCGTCGGAAAGACGGCTAGGGTTTGTCGATCCCGGGGGACACAAAACGATTGCAATGGACAGCCGTCGTGCTGCTCCATGGCGTTGGCTGATGAGTCCCATGGGCGCCGCCGCCCCTGGCCTGCCTGTATGGGATGTGGCCCGAGTGCTCCACCAGCGCCGTGATGACGCGGCCCAGCGTCAGCAGCGACTGGTTGATGTTGCCTGCCTCGCGGGCGCGGCTGTCCTTGGCGCCGCTCCTGCAGACCGGAGACCGTGGCGGCCGCAAGGGACAGGGATTGGTGCTCGTGCTGAGCAGGTCGCAAATTCAACCAAGATCACCTGGGAGGATCACTTGCACAGATCACTGCGTGCGGCCGCCCGCCGCCCACCTGCTGATGTTCTCGCTGCCCGCAAGGTCCACGAGGTTGAGCTTGCCGATCTTGATGACGTCCTCGCCCTCGGGGGTGGTCTCCTTCATGTGGATCGTCACGGTGAACACGCTGAGGTGGCAAGGGGGGAGCGTGGAATGTGAGTGGGGGGCGAGACTGAGCTGAGGGTATGGGTGAGAGGGTTGGTTCATCCTCAACATGAGTGAGTTGAGGATCACCGCAGTTGTGCCTTTCGCCTGGCAGGTGAGAGTGGCCCCCCAGCACTTGATGTAGGCGGGAAAGCCCGGCGGCCAGGGCCCCACCTGTGGCTGCGGCTGGAGCGCTTGTTGAGCAGGGTCTCCGCGGTGCGGCGCTTGCTGGTGCCGCGGTCCAGGACCTGGTATATCTCTGTGTTGGTGTTTGAGTTTGTGCAAGTGTGAGCGAATCGTGTATGTATGTGTATGTGTGTGTGTGTGTGTGTGTGTGTGTGTGTGTGTGTGTGTGTGTGTGTGTGTGTGTGTGTGCGCGTGCGCGCACGAGCGCGCACGTGCGTTTGAGTGTGGGCAGCATGAGCGAGCGGGGCATAGAGCAAGATTTTAGCATATACGTATTTCGAGGGCCACCACCCGCCCCGTGATAGCCTCAACACACCGCAGTTGCCTCCGCTGCGGCGCTGCACCCCAACCCCACCTGCCGAGGTCTTGACGACCATCTCCTCCAGCCCCTGCACCACCACCCCGCTGCGGTCCTCCAGCAGGCGCAGCCGCTTGTCCTTCTCGTCAGCCACCTAAGGGAGTGGGAGGGGCCGGCGGCGGAGGAGCCCTCAATCAACACTGCCGCCACGCGTGAAGTGCGATTGCTCCGGCATATGTGTCCCTGCAGCGTACAGCCCACAACCTTTCAACAGGTCAGGGCCCCGGCGGGTGAGGACTCCTGTTGAGGGCAGGCCATGCGTTGAAGAGCCCACGCGCCATGCGGCCCCCCCCCACTCACGCTCAGCAGGTCTGTAAGCTCCTCATTGTACAGCTCCAGGAAAGACACCTTGACGCTGCTGTCAGTGACCTGGAGGTAGGGTGAGGGCGAGCACAGCGTCATCGAATGGCGTTCCCGACATTCGCAGCAACTGCAGGGCTCGCGGCGCCGGCGGTCGGGCGCGCTGTCTGCCGGCTGGCAGAGCATGGTTGAGGCATGGGCGTCGGCAGTGCGACGGGGCGGGTGGCGGGGGCTGGTGATGTGCGGCGGCCTGCTGTTGCCCCGCGCACATCGTCGGACTCGATGGCGTCGAAAATCTGCTTGATTGCGCGTGGGATGACGCCCGCCTCTGCGGCACGCGTCGGGCAGGGGTGAGCCGAGCAGTGCACTGGTCAGTATGATCCACTGTGGTGTGTCAGAACCAGCCCAGCCCGTACGCTGGCAGAACACCCAGCCGCCTCAGTCACGCCTGCCTGCAAAGCGACATGGCGCCCCAGGCCGGCAGCCGCACCGCACCTGCCGACAAGCGCTTGCCGTCCACGCTGTTGCGGGGCCCGCCCTCCATCGTGAATGTCTTGCCCGTGCCCGTCTGGCCGTAGGCAAAGATCGTGCAGTTGAAGCCATCCAGAACCTGACAGTGGCGGCAGAAAAGAGAGTGACGGCATCAAGCGTCATCAGCGTGGCGTGAATCAGCAACCTAATGGTGGGCTTTGTTAATCAGCCGTCACCACAACCGTCATGGCTGCTGTTGATGATACTGCCAGCACAGACGCGAATTTGTCATGGCAGCTGACTGCTGCCCAAGCGCAACGCCTGGATTTGCCCACCTCCTGCACGATGGGCACAATCGCCTGATTGTACACCTTCTCCTGGAGCGAGTCAGGGCCGAAAACCTGCAGGGACGCGCAGGGGAACAACCGCGAGCTCAGCACAACACTCACTGTGTACTGGACACTCGCGTGGTGCCCGGCCGCCCTGCTGCGTGGTCCCACAGCACGCAGCCTGGTCATTGGATGCTCACAGGCGCGTAATGAATCTCCTCTTTGGGCCTTGCGTGCACCTGTGCCCCCAACGCGCCTTATCATATCTAAATGTGCGGCTGAGGGACTTGCCGCCAGCGTTTTGGTACAGGGTCACTTCCCGCAGCGCCTCATTGCATTGGATGACATTTGCGGAACGCTCGGCTGTCTCCTGCGCGTTGGCAGGCCTGCACGGCAAGGCATGCCCCGGCAGCTTGGCGCCAGCCGCGCGACAGCAGTGGTTGCACAGCACCATCGTCGCTGGCAGCAGCAGCAGCAGCAGCAGCAGCAGCAGCAGCAGCAGCAGCAGCAGCAGCAGCAGCAGCAGCAGCAGCAGCAGCCAGTGTTGTGCTTGGTCCTGCCACGCACACGTCCCTGACTGCTGTGCGACTGTTGCGCCAGCCGTCAGCAAGCCATTCGCGTGCACCGGCCATGCATGTGCCGCCATGAATACATGGCCGGTGCGACCGCTCACCGGCAGCGCAGAATCACGTTGACGTGCACACCGTCGTCGCCGCTCTGCGAGCGCGCGTCCGCCATACTGGCGACGCCACGCTCAGCACCCCTCAGTGAAAGGCCTTGTGCTGTTCGTGCTGTCTCAGCACGTCCACTGTCCGCCTCGAACCGTCCCCAGATCGTGAGTGTTGCGCCTGTGCTCGTCGACTGGAACGTGGATAGCAAGTCGAACTACTCTCCGTTTCAAGCAATTCTCGGTTTCAGATGATGTAAAGGCGCATGCCACATTTCGACCCAGTGGCTACAGGTCCGCCCTCGTCGCTGTGTTCCAAGTGCAACGCACCAAACGGCAGCGGCGATGGAGTGTGTTTGAAGGTGCAATTCACAATATTTACCATGACTTCTTGTGCAAGCTAAAGCACACAGCAGCACTCGCCTGATGCAGGACGACAGGTGAGGAAATCAAATTTCAAGGCAGCTTCTGCAGTGTCACAGCTATCACAAAAAGCCATATGGTCGCCGTCTCGCTATCAAGCCACGCTTTGATTTTGAAGCTGCATTTCAAGTAACAAAAGTGCCTGCACGCTGGTCCCAAGCACGGGGCTGTGGGACCTTGGTAGTTGGCACTTGTACATGGAGCCCACCAACTCCCTGGCGAGGCATCATCTTGAGTGAAGGTCGTTTATGACTTTTGACATTGTTGTCGTGGCTGCCGTATTGTGGTTTGTGCTCAGCAGCACCAAGGTGGCTCGCATATGCCGTACGTCACCTACACCATGCTCCTGCTTCTGCTGCACGGTATGTGGTCGGTGTTGAGGCTGGTAGTCGGCCTGCTGGGCTGCATCACATATAGATCTATGTGTCGAAGGGAAACATCTTCTTACCCCTTTCGCAAGCATATCCGTCCAGGAAGCAAGACAACTGTAACGAGGCGCAGGATACGGTACCATAGCGGCCTGCTTGGGCGGTGTTTGACTGGCACAAGCGCGGTGCCAAGCAGCAGAGAGGATTCATATTGCCTCGATTGTGGCCAAATTGGCCGAAGTGCTGCTTCTCGTGCCTGTGACGCATTGGTCACTCGCGGTGCTCTGGTGGTCAAGTGGTCGCGGCTCCACCAATGATACCAGATTTTGAACCTTCGAAGCTTGCTAGAGTGCCGGTATTCTAGCTTGGAAGTCAATCAGAAAAGCCGTGCTGCCGGTGGTGTTGGGCCACCGCCAGCTCGCTATCTTTGATTGCTGCGACTGCGCGTGCCACCGTTGTGCCTTCAAGCGATCGACACGGAGTCGCGTTCCTTCGTTTCAGTCTTTTATAGTAGCGTCAGGTTCTTGTAGAAAGAATCGGCGCTATGAGCGCAAACCTGCAGCCTGGGAGTGCCGCCGTGCACTCTGGCGAGCCCCCGGAAAAATTGAAGAAAAAGGGGAGCTTCTCCAACTTGGTGGCATCACTCAGCAAGAAGAAGGGTAGCAGCAGCGACCTTGCGGACGCAGACAGCGCGGGGAACCCACCAGCGACCAAGTGAGTGGCTCGATTTGTGGGTAGCTGCAGGTGGGAGCGGGCGGCATGGCATCACAGCTGTTATTAGGCATGTTGTGAACCGCTGCAGCTGTAAACGGGCCGTCCCCAGGCGCCCAACTGTCCTGGCGAGGCGGTGCGCGTGCGCGCTTGTGCTGCTTTGCTGCACAGTGGGAGCTCCACTTGGGCTCGCGGGGATTGCGGACTTCTGGTTTGAGGGCGCTGATTGAAACCAACTTACTGCGCCCGCGCTGCGTCACGTCAAACACGCACCCGCAGGCCTGAGAAAAAGAGCCTGTTCGGCAGAAGCAAGTCAAAGCAGGCGGCCGGCGATGCCGCAGTAAGCCATGGGGCAACAGCCTGGCCCCGGCATGCGGTGCCGACAGCCTGGGCAGGGCGGTTTCTGTGGGCCACTCCACTCTGCCTCCTGTGTGAAACCACCTGCTTGTCCCTGTGCTTTCTCATGCCCGCTCTAGAGGCAGCGCACTGGTCACTGCGGCAACAGCCGTGCCCCGTTGTCCCGGGGGCACCTCTTTCCCGCCCCTCGTTTGTCATGGCCCCCACCCCGCCACCCACGACCCCCCACCTGCACCTCTGGCGCCGCACCTGCCAGGCGGAGGCTGCGCTGCCGCCGCCAGCCAGCACGGGGCTAGGGCCGTTGGCGCGCAAGCGGACAGAGGAGCTGAAACATGGCGAGGTAGGGTCAGCATGATCCGGGTTGAAGGGCGGCGCGTGCTGCTTGGAGACCCTTGGCTGGGGCGTGCAGCCGCGGTAGGCCTGCAGCCGAACAGCTCTGGAGCAGCACAGCTCCTCTGCTCTGTTGTCGTCTGCTGTCGCACCCAGCTTTCCCGCCTGCTGGCACCCCAATGGATGAGGCGTGCATGCTGGGCAGACAGCAACGTCTGCAGCTCCTGTCGGCTGCTGGCCCGGTGGACGGCAATCAGGAGAAAGCGCATGCCGCCTGCATCTTGACGGGGTGCTTTGTCTTTCCTGGTTGTGCTGCGCGCCCAGGCCGACGACGTGGCGGGCACAAAGGACCAGTCCGTGCCGCACGGCGCCACCGTGACGCTCAAGGCGGACGCGACCACGCCGGCCGCGCCTGCGCCTGCGCCCGCGGCCGTGCCTGCGCCTGCGCCTGCGCCTGCGCCTGCGCCTGCGCCTGCGGCCGCGGCTGACGAGGCCGAGCCGCCGAAAAAGCAGAGCAAGTCCGTGTTCTCCCGGGCGCGCAGCGCGGCGCAAAAAGGCCTGGCCACGGCGGTCAATGGCGCCCCGCAGTCGCGGCACCGCGCCGCGGTGGTGGCAGCGCTTGCGGGGAGGGAGGCGGATGAGGAGTTTGCACCGGCTGATTATGCAGAGGGGGAGCTCAAGAAGCCGCCGGCGCCCACACCATCCAGGGAGGCGGCCGTCGTTGAGGCAGCACCTGCGGCGCCCACCGACGCGCCCAGCGAGCCGCGCGCTCCTGCGGCCGCCGTCAAGGCGCCGGCTGGGAGCGGCGGCGTCGCAGCGGCCGTGTCTGGTTTAGATGGGGCTGAGAGGGCCAAGCGCTTCGACCCTTCTGAAGGTTTTGCAGCCGCCGCGACGTTTGGCATGGGAGAGAGCCCGACGGCCACCAAGGCTGCCAAGGCGGCCGTGCAGGCAGTCGCACCCCCTCGGTCTGACGGCGGCTCGTCCGCCGGCAAGATCCGGGCAGGCACGCCAGAGGCATATGCCACAGATGTGGTGACGGAGGCGGCGGCGACTGAGGGGCCGTCCGCCGCGGCGGAGCGCGCTGGGGAGGGGGCAGGGGCGGGCCGCAGAGCGCGGGCGCGGCGCCAGCCGGGCAGCGGCGACGGCGGCGTGAACAGCGACGACGACTTCGTGGCGGCGGAGGAGGGCACGCCGTCCGAGGGCGGCACGTCCGAGACGACGACTGACACCGGCGACCGCGGCGGCGCTGGCGTGGTCGGCGTGCTGGGGCGCGTGCGCAGCGGCGTGGCTAAGGGCCTCGCCATCGCCGTCAACGGGCGCGAGGACGAGCAGCGCTACGGCGCCGCCGCCGCCGCCGCGGCGGCAGCTGCGGCCGCCGCAGCGGCCGACGCGGAGGCCGCTGAGGCGGCGCGGCGGGAGGCGGCGGAGCGCGCAGCGGAGGACGCGGCGGATAGGGGCCCTGAGAAGGAGCCGCCGGTCCGGAAGTTTCCGCGCGGCTTCATGTGGGGCACGGCCACGAGCGCCTACCAAGTTGAGGGCGCCTTCAAGGACGAGGGCAAGGGGCTGAGCATCTGGGACGCGTTCGCGCACGCGCCCGGGAAGATCAGCGGCGGCCACACCGGCGACGTCGCGGCGTGCCACTACTACAGGTGGGCCTGCCCCGCAGGCCAGGCCAGGCCAGGTTCCGCTCATTGTAGGCACGATTTCTGTCCGGGTTTGCCGAGGCAGGCAGCGAACCACGCTGCGCGGCAGGCGCAGCCTGACGCCGAATTGGCTCCGGCGCGCCAACTGGGCCGGCTGCTTTTGCAGGAGCTCGGGCTCGGCCTGCAACCAGAGGGGTCGCGTGAAGCAAGCGCTGCCACAGCCCCCGCAGCGTGCCGGACAGCGCGCAGCCGTCCTCCCTCGACCCCCGTGAACGCATGCGCGTTTGAGGGCATCGAACAGCCACAGCGCTTGCTGCTGACAAGGCTCGAACCACCAAAATTCCCGAAATCAAAACCGCTTCTCCACAGGTACAAGGAGGACGTGGCCCTGATGAAGGCCATGGGGGTGGGGTACTACCGCTTCTCCATAGCCTGGTCGCGCGTGATGCCAAACGGCAAGGGCCAGGTCAATGAGGCGGGGCTGGCCTTCTACAACAGGCTCATAGACGAGTGAGTGCTGCCGGCGGGTGGAGTGA